TTCTACCTGACCCTGGATGAAGCCATCGGTTCCAGAAGACGATTACCTCACCATAGCTGGGGATCTGGAAAGGCCATGTGGGAAATGACAGAAGGGCTCTAGAAAGGGTGCACGGAGGCCAAGGAATAGGGGCAAAGAACGCTGAAGGAGAACGAATGCTTGACCTACTCACAGCCCACTAGTCCGTTAGCAGTCTGTAGCACCTTCTTCGCGAAAAGGAGGACAGAAGATAACCTACAGCAGTGAAGGGAGACAAATATGGAAATCGACCATGTCCTGGTCAGAAGATCGTCTCTCAAAACCGTCAAGGATATCAAGGTACTGCCTTGAGAAGAGTAGGGCCCTCAGCACAGGCCCCTCCTGGCAGACGTCGCCATAGACCTCCCCAAGAAGACAAGGGTGGTAGCAGAGCGAAGAATTCGGTGGTGGAATATGTGCAAGGTAGAAAAGGATAGCCTCGGCCGAAGAATACTGGAGGCTGGGCTCCCAGACCTACAGAGGCCAGTTCAGGATACCTGGACCTACGCAGTTGAGGTCATCCTACAGTGCGCAATTGAGGTCCTGGGAGAGACGCGAGGTGGTATCAGAGGAGACAAGGCAGCCTGGTTCTGGAACGAGGAAGTCCAGAGGATCGTCAAGCAGAAGAAGGAAGCATACAAACGCTGGCAAAAGACCCGGAGCCCAGAAGACTACGCTGCCTACAAGAGCTGCAAGCTACCCGCCAAGGCGGCCGTTGCTAAGGCCAAGAATACGAAAATGGACGCCCTGTACGACAAGCTGGAAAGCCGAGAAGGGGACAAGTTCGTCTTCCGCCTGGCTAAATCCCGGCATGCGCCGCTCAGGACATCAGGGTCATAAAGACTGTGAAGACCAATCTCAGGAAACCAGCCGAAATCAAGAAGAGGTGGGAAGAATACTTGAGGGACTTCTGAACGAAGAATTCCCCGCAGGGGCAGCCCACAGATAGAGAAGGCAGGTCCCATCACGCCCTGGACGTCCGCAGGGAGCTAGGCAGAATGGAAGTTGCCAAAAAGTCATGTGGGTCTAACGGGGTACCGATAGAGGCATGGGAGGCCGTGGAAGAGTTGAGCTGGCTAACAGACTTCTTAAACAACATACCGGCTGAAGGAAGGATGCCAAATGCGTGGAGGAGGGCAGCATAATCCGTCCCATCTTCAACAGAAAGGGGACGCGACGATGTGCTCTAACTACCGCGGCATCAAGTTGACTCCCCATACCATGAAGCTGTATGGGCGCCTGGTCAACACTAGGCCAAGGGAGGTTGTTCCTATCTCGCAGGAAACAGTTCGGCTTCATGCCCGAACGTCCACCACTGACGCCATCTTCATCGCCAGACAGCTGTACTCTGGAGAGAGCGCTGAGGAACGTAACGATCAGGAGCGCCTAGTCTCCATAGTGAGGGATATGTACGATGGGGCTAAAGCAAGCTGTACGCACCCCGCACGGTTTGACGAAAGAGGTAAACATCACGGTTGGGGTACACCAAGGATCAGCCGTCAGCCCGCTCCTCTCCTCCTGACTCTAGATGTCATGGTAAAAGAACTCATGGAGGAGGGACCACCGAAAACCATCCTCTACGTTGACGACATCGCCCTGATAGCGGACAGCAGGGAGGAGCTCCGGGACAAGGTGCACGGTGGCAGAATGTGCTCGCTGAGAATGAACTCCCGTTAAACATGAAGAAGACCAAGTTTCTGAGCTCTGAAAAGTGCACGAACCCATCGTAGATCGCCATGGTGAGAGCATCGAAAGGGCAGAGGATTTCCAGTACCTGGGGAGCAACCTAGCAGCTGATGCAGCGTGGACCAGCGGTGACGGCCGAATCAACGCAGTCTGGACAAAATGGAGGGAGTCCACTGGCATCTTGTGCGACGGCGCGTGCTCGAGAACGCTCAAGGGCAAGGTGTACCGGGCTGTGATAAGGCTTCAATGCTCTACGGCAGTGAGTTGCTGGCCCATCTGCACGAACCATGAAAGCAGCTCCACTCAGCTGAAATGGAGGGCTGAGAATGGGCTCGCAGCTGGACGACTCGATAGATCAGAAACGAGGACGTCAGGGCGGTCACGGGACCGCTCCGATACAGCTGAAGGCACGAGAGCAGCGACTGCGATGGTATGGGCACGTGCTGAGAAGGCCTGAAGGCACCCAATAAGGAAGGCATTGAAATTCGAAGGCAGATGGCAAGCGACCACAGAGGAGCCGCGAAGAAAAAATGGAGTGACGTTATCAAGAAGGACCCCACTGAAGTGAAAGCCACGGCAGAAGATGCAGTGGACTCGGAATAAGTGCGACGTCTAACACGAACAGCGGACCCTGCGACGGGCGCGGACTAACGCTAGTGTAAAGAAGAAGAAGTAATATGAAGAGAGTGAGTTATTAATTAAAAGGTTTAAATTAAGAAAAAGCCTAGGAATAATTATCACAACAGTGCTGAGATATAGGCAAAAGCGGACCTGGACAGGGAGTCGAACACACATGCTCATGGCGGACGAGCAAGAGAATCGTAAGTTGCCGCTTCGTCGCGCGCGGCAAAAGGAGCGACGTTTCCTCAGTTGCACTACCTTTTCGACTGGAGCATCGGATTTCATGTAGACAAGGAACATGGTAGAAACCAACGCCTATGTCGGTCATACATTGTCTATTCTCGACCAACACCATCTAAAATCGTCAACGTCGCACGCGACGCCCACTGCGCGGCGAATTACGACTCTCTTGCCACATACCCACAGAAACCGCTCATCGCCCAGTTTGACAGGAAGTGTTGGAAGCATAAGAGCGGAGCAAAATGCCGACAAAACGCTAATTGGAGAGCGAGAGGTAAGAGCGGGGATTCCCGAGTCCGGCGCTATTAGGCTCATATTCAAAAACAGCATCAGCTGTGGATAACAGTTGGAATGCTCGATACTTCGCGGCGGTCGAAACAGGCATTTTCTTCACACCCTACTTATATATTTTGCTAGGCTCTTGTCTGTTCGAGTATGTCTGTTGTGGTTGCTTGTTTGTTTGTTTATTCGTTTGGTTGCCTGTCCGCGAATTCGCTTCTGCCTAAACAACAACTTCGAGAGGTCGGGTCAAGGTTAGGATGGGTAGGGGATGGGACAACATATAGAGCACACGTAAAGCCATGGCATGTCCCGCCCATAGCGGGCGGGGCACGCGTCAAAGATCGGCGTTCCTGACAAAATTCTTAATTCAGCTTGGCGCCCTGAGAAAATTCATAATTCGGCTTGGCGTCCCTAGAACACTTATAATTCAGCTTCTGACCAGACCTGAGATGGGGAAAAAGTGGGCTAGGGTCAGCAAAGGAATGGCAGACCAAATAATGGGAACAGACCCGATATGGGCGGGGTACTCGGAATAGGCCGTGCTTCCTACGCGACTGAAAAATTCATAATTCGGCTCCAGAGCTGCTCTGAAATGGGAAAGAAGTGGGGGAAGATTGGCAAAGTATTGGCAGACCAAATGGAGAGGAATGGGCGGGTCGTACTTGAGGTGAGCGGTGCTTCCCACAAAATTCAGTGACTCGGTTGCCGAGAGAGCTTAGTGATCGCAAAAAAGCCCTTAGAGAATACAAACATTTGGAGAGAGTGAAGCGTATCTGCGGTGTGTTGATGCAGTGGGCGCAGTACCCCGGAGTGGGCGGGGCGTGCCCTCGAGCATAAGGTTCTCATTCGGAAAAATCGCATTTCTCTTCCAGAACACTACAGAGACCGAGAAAAATGGATTATTATTAGGAAGGGTTCACCGGTTGATAATGCGAGACACCTGTTGCGGACGGAGCGTGTGGCGAGGTAGGCGAGCCAAACCTAAAAATTCGTAAAGCGGTTCCAGAGCACACCAGACCTTGGCAAGAGGTGAACCAGGGTGTGCAAGAGCTCGGCTATTAAAGCGAGATGGACGCGCCCACTGAGGGCGAAGCGTGGATTGGCGGCGGTGAGGCGAAAGCCAAATTTCACGCATCGGTTGTAGAGCAGCATAATCACCGGGGCTAGTGGACTGAGGACAAGAACGGGTAAGCGCACTGAAATGAGGAAGACATCGTTAAAAAATGTGGGTCGTACTCGACATGAAACAAACCATTGCTGTTTCGTAGTATTTTTCTACCTATGTCTATTTCTTCTTCTTATGGGCGGTGATCGCCACGAAATTTAATAACATCGGGAGATCGGGAAAAATCGTTGAAGAACAGAATCATATGGTGAGAGGTGAGCGTGTCTGTGGCATGCACGACCCGCCAACAGTGGGCCAATTTTTTATGACTTTGGCACTAGTTACCATTTACTGCCCCAATCATCCGAAATGTGGCGCGGGCACCAGGAAGTTTCAGGCCGAGTGAATGTGCTATTCATATTCAGGGGTCAAGCTACCCCGGAGACAATATTTGAGCCAAATCTGTCCACGGAGAAAAAAAATCGGTTGAAAACTGGTTTAATTCCGGATGGCTTGCAGTACAGGATGAACAGTGCCATGAGTTTCACTGCATGGGCAGCCACCTTTCTAACAATCAGATTTCGTAGCTCTTTTTGATATCAGTCGGTTCGCCAACTGAGTTAGGCGCGCTTCTTCCCGTGATAGGGCCCAGCTTTGCCGGTATTCCGTGGTTTCGTGGAAAGATGGTAAGCGCGACGAAGACGCGTCCGCTCGGCTTCGCCGGCCGTATTACAGGAGGCGGGCCGCATCACAGGAGGAGACGTGCCGACATCAGCCGGCGATCCTACTTGCGATACTGAAACAGCGTAGGAATCGTTTTAGCCACTTCCCTCAGGACCTTTCTAATTGGAATTACACTCAGTTGCGGAAATAGATCGCGTTCGACCCCTCCGTTTGACACTACTGTTACCCTCTCTCTAAACTTTCTTCGACCCTTTTTACAATGGACCCTCTCATTGCTCAACCTCTAAGCCAGTTTTCACAACATTATCGTTCTGAGAAATGTTGCCGAGTTATTGATATTGATTACTCTATTTGCATCTTTTCGATGGGGCTTAAGATTTTGGAACGTCTCAAAACTCACCTGGTGCTACTTCATCCATGCGTCCCGAGTTCGCCGTGCTCACCAGAGGTAATCGCAGCTGACGAAAGCGACACCCATATCCGTAAGCACTGCCGTTTTCCTTTCTGCAGGACTCCAGATCATCCTCCTCAATATTTCAGATTTTTATGTGGAGCGATCAAAACAGCCGTGGTATGCGCGTACTGATGTTGATTCGAAGCTGAATGTAAGCAGGTCACTCATAGAAATCGTCTTTACCGACACAAATGAATTACTCTTCAGGAGCTCATTAGCACAGCCACCACTGGTGGAGTTTTTCTTTTGCAAGGGCCTGAACTATGCGGAAAAACGCGGGCGTTGTGTCGCCTCTACGAACAGGCCCCAACAAAAGCCTTTAAAATTATCAGGTACGGCAACTGCTTTTCAAAAAAGGATACAAATAAATATTCAATGTTGATGTAAATCCGTTAATAAATGACCCCTAAGCAAGAGAATTTCATGGGCAATTGAAGGAACCAGCCTTGATTTTGATGCTTTTCTTGTGCCGGCACTGTTGTCAGGTGGAGCTTTTACTCATCACCGAAGGTTCCAGTCACAAAGTTCCCATTTGAGGCCCTCAAAGTGGCCGTGCAACTCTTCATTCTCTGGATGGTTTCCGTAGAGAATTGCATTCCGTGTATACTCGAGCTGCAATACCGTCGCCTTCGCGTACGAACTGTGTTGTCTCATACGAATTATTAATGCAATCAATTCCATAGCCACTCTGAAGAACACGCCAAATATAAGAACAAATCCCTTGTATGACGACAGCTCATAGATACGGCAGTGCAACACGGGAATTGACCAGGACAATCTTAATTTGCTGCTCCCACGCGCACAGCGAAATTAGCGGAGTTTCCCTAGTTTATACAACTTGTACCATGCTTCATGCAGGCTGCAACATCGTAGATATTTATAGCTATTCTTGATTATCTGTTGCTGCCATCAATGCTCTAACAAATCGTCTATTGCGAGCGAAATGTCGCACACGACGCTCACCAGCGCGGCGAATTACAACTGACTTGTTTACTACCCATGCAACTCACAATCAGACATTACCACGAATAACGTGAGCGCTGCGACTTCGATAGCTCACGATCAATCAGGACACGTCGATGCCCCTTTCCCATACCCCACACTACCATTTCCCAAAATGCCTACCATTTTCCGTAGTTTTCTTCCGAAATAAGAGATTCTCCGAATTTTTTCGAAGAGGGAAGAGGTGAAGGCAAAAAACGGCGTGGCTTGCTCACGACAGAATCGCCCATCTCCTCAATTTGTCTACCGCTGAACGGGATGTTGGAGTGGTGATCACGGCACTGTGTTCACCATCAGCCTCACAGGTGGAACACAGCCCTTCCGGCGCCATCAACGGGATGTTGGAGTGATCACGGCACTAAGCTAAGTCCTTTGCGCGGAAATGACACTTACGGCGCCTCCTTTTAGTGATCACGCCACTGTGCTCAGGACCATGCAGTGACACGGCCCTCTTGGCGGCTGCTAGGAGGGATCACGGCAGTGTGCTGAACCCTATGCACGGCAATCTTGGACATCCTACAGAATGATCACACTGTGCTCGATCCCATATACCGGATCTCGTCGCACTTGAGTGTTTTGTAGATGAGCACCTCGGCAATATCAGCGCCTCCCATAGTTGGGAAAATGTCGCTGTTTCCACGACCCCACTAAGCACATGCCTTAATGCAACCAAAGACTTTTCGAATTTTTTCGATCCCAGCCCGTTCAATCATTAACTTTGCAAGGATATGGCGTATTTTTTTGGGTTGCTTCTCTCACTCGCACAGTTTTTACTGTATTCAGGTTCATCGATCTCACTTACTCATCCCTTTTTGCCCATGAGGTTTGGCGGCAAATTAACTTGGAATTGTGTACTTTGACTTCAAAGGACGCTGGATCGGTCATCAGTGTCAGTGACAAAGAACCTTATTTGGGAAAGGAATGTACTGCTGGGTTAGAAGCTTTTAATTTCAGGCATTTAAACTCAAGGAACAACTGATGATATTTGACGAGATGTTGACGAATCTTGATGGAATGCTGTACTTGTTTTTGGATGATATCCATTTGCTCAAATATGGTCCTTTTATGAGCACTCTTGAGAAACGACTTCAAAAGGTGGGGTTACGCTTCCTGTAGAGTAATACGACCTAATTTTCAATGCTCGAGTTGTTAAGCGTCGAGTGTAATCAATTCCTATGGCCGTTTTCAATGATCACGACTGATTTTAGGCCCCTTCTTCGCTCGCTATATTTATGACTGCCTCAAATGTTTCGCCCATATCCTCTATCTATACTATTACACAAACCCTGAATCTTGATATTCCATCCGACGATGATATTATTGAAATTCTCAAACGATCCCTGATCAACAGAAAGGTCAACAGCGGTCAGTGGTCAGCGATCAAGCAGCAGGTTTGTATTGCAGGCACATTCCAAAGACTGTATGGGCAGAGTCACTCGAAATGTGCCCCTCTCATTTATGGGCCCTTCGTCCATTTGAGATTTGCATTGAGGAGAAAAGCTTATCGAGGAAAAAGTTGCAGTGGTCTAAATCATTTGGCTAATGCCGTTTGGACTCCAAAAATTTCGGCACCGAGCCCATTTTCAAACTGCCTATGTCACCAGATCAGCTAAAAACTTGTATGTAGAGGTAGTTTAACATCCTGATTACGAATATGACATTCACTCTTGTCGCTGTTGCCAAGAGAGGACACTACGATTACCTCCTGGGCTCAGCCTTAGCAAAGCGCAGGTAACCGTAGTGTCATCCATTAGCGCCAGCGACAAAAGTGGATGTCATATTCTTAATCAGGATGTTGAACTACCCCTCTATACAAGTTTTTAGTGGATTTGGTGACATAGGCAATGTAAAAATGAGCTCGGTGCCAATTTCTGGAGTGAAAACGGCATTAGCCCAATCATTGCACCATTCTTACTACCATTCCCATTCATGATTCTGGAAATCATTCAGTTTTCCTTGCTGCCAACTGTGATAGAGTTGGTGCAAGCGGACGGGTGTGGATCTATTCAGCTATTCGCGAGTGACTGAAAACTCGTTTCAGCTCACAGGAAGCAACTGCAGCATTCTCGTTGGTCAGGTATTACTAGACCAAGTACTACAACGGAAAAATGGCGTTATGAACGGTGGCATTCAAGGTGAGTCACCCATGACTAGCTTTAAAGGGATACCTCTCAGCCCCCGAGTTTCAGGTCGACTTGAACGAATCGAAGCTGAGTTAGGTGTATTATCTGTACAAAGCTTCTGCACGTATATCGTACTTGCCACACATGGCCTCACCCGACTCGAGCTGTTCGACCTCCTCACAAATAAGGTCGACCTCATCGCCAGGTTGGGTGCTGCGGTGGCATTTCCTTCTCTTCTTCTCGATAGGATCATCGAATCTCTTGGTATGGATATTAATGTGCACAAAGTGGCTCAACTCTATTGATTTGCTCATATTTCCTCAGGTAGTTTACTGGTAAAAAATCACGTCGACCGACGTACTGTATATCGACTTAGTCATGGTTGTCTTATTGGTCTTTTCCGAGCCAGGTAGGATACAAATTATAAACGATTCGACCATGCAATAACTAACTCGGCACAACTTTCAGGTATTTCTCAACGCTACTTGATCTCAAAATGACTCACAGTGAAATTGCTGACTATTTCGGCTGCGCCTCTCCTGTTGACGAAAACATATCGCCTCGAAAAGCTATCTCATATCAGGTCACAGTTATTTCTCGTAGAGCAGATTCTGTTCATTGAAAACCATACTTGCTAAGCACACTACCATGCATGTGTCATGGGTGCTGAAAAAAAACTGGCAGAGTTAATCATAGGCAGAGTCATAGACAGTTATTGGAATTGTGTCAATTCGGTCGACATACCCGATAGCAATTTTCGATATTGAGCAAAATTCTCAGATTCCTACGGAATTCCAACCAATCAACTACTCATAGACGTGATCTATTCGTTTCTCTCTCTGTCTGGGGAACCGGCGATTCCTATTGATACCATCGGACGATACTGATACGGCCCGGCTTCGCCGCGCTTACCTTCTTCCACATGTTTATATACGCAACTCTTATGCGACTTTTCTTTTATCTGAATAGATCGCTCTCTCACCAATAACATAATACCTGCTATCTTCAACACTATTACTGTGCATGACAATATGATAAGGAGCATTGATGAAGTGCAGAAATGACAGAAAGCCGGGTATCAGTCGTGCATTTGAACGTACGGAAACAGGGATGGTAGACGAGCGCCCGGCAAGGCCGGGCCGTATCACAGAGGTATCGAATGCATTTACCATGACCGGTGGCTCAGTGCATGGCTGCCGATGCACTGAAGCTCAGTAAGAAAAGGCGAAGGCTTTTCTCGTGCTTGAAGGCACGCACAGCCCACTCTGGACGGGTCTCTATACACACCATAGCCACACTCAACTTTCGCTGTAAGTTTCTTATCCCCAACGACTTTTTGTGATCCCTGGTCTCCCCCATTTCATCGACTAACCCTTTACCTTCAGTCCACATGTCCCCGGTGCAAGCAGCTCGTGAATTTTTGACCTTTGCCCCTCCCACCTCGACACCTACCTCGCCCACAATGGGCGTGTCTATCTCTCAGTGGCCGAGGACTTGCACACCTCTGCTCACATTTTGCCGGTGTCTGGACTACTTTGGGAACCAAATTCTTTTTCGTTTGCTACCACCCAGCTCTCCTTACGCTCCGCCCACAACGGGTGTGCCTAGCACTTCTCAACCGTTGACTCATCACTGACACTAACTCACTTTTTCTGGAGTGTGGAGTGCTCTGGAAGCGTCCTACGAATTTTAGTCTGGCTCCGCCCATTCCGTGCAGCTCCGCCCACGACGGATGCGCCTCGCACTTCTCAACAGGTGACCCATCACTGACATTAATACACTTTTTTCCGGTGTCTGGAGTGTTCTGGAAGCGTTTTACGGAATTTTCAGTCTGGCTCCGCCCACGCCATGCACGCTCCAGCCACAACGGATGTGCCTCGCACTTCTCATCTGGGACCACTTGGGGACCATAAGCCACTTTTTTGAGCCCTCTGTAGTGCGTTAGGACCAAACTACGATGTTTTAGACTGGTACTTCGTGTTCAAATACACGCCCCGCCCACTGTGGGCGGGTCACAGCACGCCGCAGATATGATGGATTCTCGCCAGATGTTTATCTTCGCCATGGACTTTTTTGCAATCTCTAAACTCTCTCGGGGACCGAGTTACCAACATTTGTGGGAAGCACCGCCCATCTCGATTTCGCCTCACCCATTTCGAGTGTGCCTCCTCCATCAAATCGGGACTGCTCTGGCACCGAATCATGAATTTTTACACGGGAAGAACCGCCCATTTCCGGTACGCCCCGCCCATTTCTGATGTGTCTCCTCCATTTGATGGGACAACCCTCTGCTAACCTTGATACACTTTTCTCCCATCTCGGGACTGCTCTGGTGCCAAATTATGAATTTTTTCAGTGAGACCGCCAACTTTTGACGCATGCATGCCCCGCCCGTTGTGGGCGAGGCTTACTATGGGTTACGGTTGCTCTTTACATCTTGTCACATGCCCTACCCATCCCGACCTTGACCTCACCTCTCCAAGTTGTTCTTCTGGTAGAACCGACTTCCCGGAAAGACAGACAAACAAACAGACAAACAGACAGACGAAGCAAATTATATATAGTGGGTGATGATGATAATGAATTTTCTGCTTTTAAGGTCTTCCCTCAGCAAATGAATCGTGAAAATGGTGCATGTAACATCAGACGACTACACAATTTATGGTTTCACTTACTTCATACAGGTACGCCAGGATGTCATCTTCAAAGCCCAATTGTTCTCTCCTGGTTGACCAGAGGCACTAGTCTGAGACAATCATGGGTGGAGTCATAGACCATTATCGTGAACCCTTTCCTTTTCCTATAGGTGCTTCAGGCCCAATCTAAAAAAAGGATCTTTGTAAAAAGCGTTTCTCCGACGGTGAGGAGCTGAAAGCGGCAATTTACGCACATTTTGGGAACGAGGAGGAAAAATACTTTCTAGAGTGTATTGAAAAGTTTGTTTTCCGAGCAAACAAGTGTACTGAGGTTATGGGAGACTACATTGAAAAATAATTTTTATTCGCGTTATTCATTTCTGCTTTTCCTTCATACCCATACCGAGAAAACACTTAACACCCCTCGTATATGGTGCAACTGGAGCAGGAGGGGAAGCGGAGGAAGAGGGACTAATAACTCCGTTCATCGGTTGAGAGTGCCGTGATCACTCTCCCTCTCTGCTGCAGGAACATTGATGGCCGTGTTCAACATGTGTATTTAATGAGAGTGCCGTGATCACTCCGTCTTCCCGCGTGAGGCGCCAAAATAGCTGCGTTGCTGAGACCTAAACGGTTCACTACAACGACAGAGCGGTTCCATTAGGCGTACTTTCCTTACAGCAGTGCTTATCCCCTATCAGTACAAATATCCAAGCCTTGGGATGGTCATGGAGTAGCGTAATTGTCTAAGCTAATGTCTGCCTCTATTACTGCACCACACTCGTTGCCTATACAAAGAGGCTGCGGCCGTACTATGAGCCGGATTAAGATCATCTAGCAGAGCAAGAGGGAAGCAAGAAAATTGGTTCGCACTACACTTTACTAAAATGCATAATCCAACACATTTATCTAGAGCATCCACCAAGCAGTCCATTCAATGCGAACGGATTCACTACTTAATTACATTTTAAGGTAATATGGATGCTCTTAAAGACATGGCATTATGCCAGTTTGACTTTATTGACAGTGCGGTTCGCACATGCTCGATGGTGCACCTTCTATCGATGTACGAAGAATGCGCCATGCAAGTGCTTCACCATGATATCCAAGGTATGGTTGCAGATAAATGGGAGGAGGGAACTCCAAGAAAGTGAAAGTTGCATTTCTTAGTATTGTGTGAGCAAGTGCTGATCCCAGCGATACCAACAGTTCTGAGAGATCGCGAGCAGCTGGCTGCCGAAGTGATTGGAAGGTTACGCTACACTAGAGGTCGGTCCACAAGTGACAGCGGCTACACTTCGGTGTGATCTGGACGTGAACATGGATATTTCAGCCGAGAACAGCCATTTTCTAAATACACTGGTAGAGCAGGCGATGACGTGGGTGGACAACTATTCCACACGACCACTACTCGTACCGCTGTCGTGTTGGATAGCTCCGCCTCTAATGAAGACTTGCCGAACCTTTACCATTAAGGTAAGTCAATCGATGGAGTTGGGTATAAACTCAGATGCAACAGCGTCATCCTCAGTCGGTTGCATCAGTTTGTTCAAATTCGACGGGTGTTTCCAATTGTTGCAGGACTGGAAACCTGGCCAAACAGTGCTTGCACCGACGTTCAACCACCAGCATGTTCTGATCTCCGGGAATCAGTCCGCTGTCGGTGTCATCTACATGTATCACATTGCGGCGCAGTCCCTGATGACCACATTTATTGGTGAGTGTATGAATTTTCTGGGCGTTTCATTTCGGGGTTGAACATAAAGGAACTGAGTGTGTGGAAATACAACGTCTTAAGAAATGTCCTGTCCCCTTAGCAAACACACCCACTGCCTCTGCCGTCCTGTTTGATTCGTTTGAAATGGAGACAGCTTCCTCTTTATAGTTTTCCTATTTGCCAACAGTTTCTCTCCTTACTCTACTTGCTATCTAAGCCATACTTTTCCTCTTAGTCTTAGGAGGTGTGAAAGTCTTAGTCCCCGTTCTCGATTCGCGGCTCTCTCGCTCGTCTGTGACTCATTCTGAAACTGAAACCGTTGCACCCTGAGTGTTCTATTTCAATTTCTAGCCGCGAACTTTCAGGCCATACAGGAAACGTGACTTCCCTATCATGCAGCACCAGCGGCACATTCTTTGTCAGTACTTCGGCAGACATGTCTGTTCGAATATGGAGTCTTATAAGTGTATGTTCAATTGCTTCATAGTTCCTTGATACCATCTTCGAGGACTTTGCTCTGGCGGATAGCCAAAAAAACAATTCATGTACCTTTATGAACCGCTGATTTCAGGGAGAATGCCTCAAAGTGCTGACACCTCACTCGCATAAAGTCATCTGTTGTGTTTTGGCCAGCGATGACTCATTTTTGGTAACTGGCTCAGCAGACTCTTCAGCTAAGGTCGGCGTACTACATATTTTACTGGTAGATTGATGCGATCGCATGAATCAGCTGACAGTTTTCAGGTGATCGATCTCGACAACGACAAAGTCCTGCGGTCATTCACAGAGCACACCGGTAGTGTTGTCTCGCTTCAGCTCACTGTCAATAATGAGTTTTTAATTACGGGTAAGGACTACCTTAATTATTTTTACACGCTTGTGTATGCTCATTGAAGGGTGGGGTCATGTAAGCACACAGTTGCTTCATCGCGAGACTAGGGTTCGAACATTCTTTGGTCACTTGCGCTGTTCCCATCACCAATCAAGCCTTATTAACAGGGTACAGCATCGTTGCGTGAAACACATGGAGGGGGGGGGGGAGAGGGGGTCATACTTTTCGGCTGAGGAGGTGGGGTCGTATTTGGTTGCTGTTCGAAGAGGGAGGGGCGTCGTATGTGGCTTTGAGGCCAATTTGCGTACTATTTTTGAGTGAAAAACTGGAAAATGTGGGAAAGTGGTAGCTAGCTGGGGAAGGGGAGGGGTCGTACTGACACCCTCGCTCGAGTAAGCACTTCAGAACATGACCACCCTACTATATATAATCCGCTAAGTGTGTGTGTGTGTGTGTGTGTGTGTGTGTGTGTGTGTGTGTGTGTGTGTGTGTGTGTGTGTGTGTGTGTGTGTGTTGTGTGTGTGTTTTGTGTGACCGTCTGTTGTCACAAAATTCATAGCGCCGGTCCAAGTAGCAGTGAGAAATTGATTTCAAGAGGTGACGTAGGGGATGTTAGAAGTGGGAGGTTCACATATCCATAACGCGAGTGACAGCATCAGCTAACTCTTGATCCCAAGATATGATATAGGGTATGGGCTAAGAACATCGTTGGTGGGTCCCAAAAACTGTGACTGATAAGATTCGATGAGGGGCATTAGAAGGGAAAGGCTACCTTAATATAAAGCGGGTGACAGCATCTGCTAGCTTTGATCCGAGGTATGAGGGGTATAGGTTTTGAGCCAAAACATTATTGGTGAGCGACAAGAACGGTAAGTTGCTGATAAGATTCGATAAAAGGCGTTAGAAAGGTGAGGTCATCGTATTTACAACGCAGTTCACAGCCTTAGCGAGACATACGTTTCAGCAAGTGATATAGGGGGTGAGATGGGGACATCAACCGTGGGCGACTGGAAGCGCTACCAAATCACGGAGATTTAGGGATGAGGACATTGATGACGGGTGACAGAGAATCTTACCAATCTAAACAGACGGATAATGTACCATTTGCGCTGCATTTTATCACTTCTTACCGTTATTATGCCAGTATTAGATGCTCAGTGTGTAAACTCATTCCTTCAATGTCAACGAATCAAGGACGTCCATTAAAGTGTTTGCTATTAGGTGCGTGAAATGATGTCAGGGGGGGGGGGGTAGGGTATGTAGTACGGTTGAAAGGAGGAAATCGGGAAATTCATCAGTAGTAAAAAATTTTTTTCGCAAATCTGCTTGTGGTGTCTTAGGAAAATGCGGTCGCTACTGAAACAAAGTAATCACCTAACCTTGTGGAAATACCCCCCCCCGCCTGTAATCTTAAACAACAGCTGGTTCGCCATGACTGTGTGATCTGCCCCTTTGGCAAACCGGGTGACTGCTTGAAGTCCGCAGTTATCTATTCGATACGCTGCCAGAGCTGTGGATGCGAATATATAGGAGAAACTGGCCGTCCCCTTCGAGTACGGGTCAAGGAACATCTGGAGGGTCTTAGGAGGTCACAAGCCCACACACCGCTAGGAGTTCACCGTAGTCAGCACCATTTAGGCACGTCATTCGACGTAGCAGTGACCATCTTAGTGCAGGAAGTCGAGATCACGGCGCGCAAGACACTGGAGGCTTTTTGGATCACGGCCAAGGACCCACAAATGAATCGCAAGGAGGAGTGTGTGGTCATAACGCGTGAGCTCGCAGCCTTTCTCGACCTCTGCAAGTTTTGACCTACCGAGAGGTCGAGGGAGGTTACCAGTAATTCTTACTCTACGCTTGAGCCTCTACAGGGTGGTCGTCCCTGCGTCACGCGTCCGAGATCAAGGTAAGCCAGCGTTCCGCCCTAAATCGATACCGTTGGGTGATTTACTGGTATGTGGAAATCGTCTTGAGTATTGTTGAAATGTTTGAGCGAGCAGGTCTCGAAATGTTTTTTGACCATTTCAGGCTCTGACGAAGGCGAAGACGCCGAAACGTAGGCCTTCAATAAAGTTGCTCAATCTTGGAAAGGCTAGAAGAAAAACAAGAACTATAATCACCTAACAATTTAATCAACAACCCAACATTTAGGAGTGGGGACGTTATATCGGTGGTGATCTTCGAGCTCTGAACTTTTTTCAACTAGTTTCCCCACTTTCTAACAAGAGAAAAAGTAATCGCCACCGTTTGACTTATTTAGTGCACTCTACCTCGCTCAAGGGTCCGGCTTTGTTTTAGTGTACTCTACCTCGCTCAGGTAGAGTACACTAAAACAAAGCCGGGCCTCGAAAGGAGGAGCACCCGGCGGCAGCCGGGTGATCCGACTGGTTTTCGATAACTGGTCATGATGTGCCATTATTTTTTCGCATTTTCCGTTAAGCACTAAGGAGCCTTATGAAAATGCGCATTCGAAATTCCGTTGAAAATAAACCACTGCGATTTTCAAGGGTCTGGCGACTTTATCGTGCAGATGTGGTCATTAGAAACGGGACAATGCATATCTCGTATGGGAGGTCTGATGGCTCCCGTTAGTTGTATCGCAATCACTTCGTGAGTTCCCCATCCCTAATCAAATATTTCGTCACTGTAATTCCATTTTCTTTCAGAAATGATGCCTTCGTCATTGTCGCTTGTGAAGACGAGACGCTACGTGTTTTCTCCACAGTTGCCGCTCAGGAACTCCACGAACTGATGGGACACGAAGGACGGGTTGGTTGAACTCATACCTCACTTATAAACAAGTTTCCTAGGGCCAGAAACGTTCCCCTCTTCTTAAAACGACGAGCAAGTCTAACCACTTTGAGGGTCTTCCAAGGATATGGATAGCGCGCACGAAACAGGAAAATCAGTTGCCAAAAAAACTTTCCGAACCAAACACGCCCCTTTCCCATCCGCTGACCGAATACCACCCCGCTGACCCAACGAACGACGTGCCGCCGCTGTCTGATTGAGATGCTTCCTGGCCGTGAGCTTCAAGGCTCTCCAAAGAATGGAACGCCTGGCACGGCAAAATACTGTTTCACCTCTGGTTCTTCAGAATTTGTCACGGGACCATACATAGTGCTTTACGGAGGGTGAGAGAACAGCTCATGGTTTCTTCCACTTTGGTTTCCACTTTGCAAGTACTTCACTCAGGACGCATCAATTTTGAGAGACCTGCAAAGGGAGCGGGGGAACGATCAGTTTGTATCCGTCATGCAGAGGACTGATAGTGTTGTGAGTCACCCAACAAGTAATAGTATGTGTATAGAGAGCCTTTGATGTTCCAGGTAAATGTCTCCCATGGTACCGTGGGTATTGGCGGAAGAGTGATTCGGACTTGGAGGTTGTATTGAATAATTTTTCCCTCATCGCGATGGATATGTCCTGTCCCCGATATGGAGCGCTTCGCCTCCTCGAACTTGTTAGAATGGTCTTACTGCGCCAGTCTTCCAAAAACAGGCCGGTTTTCAACCGATTTTTTTTCTGCTTTGCAGAATTGGCTAAAAATTTGTTCCCTGGTATAGACTGACCTCCTTAATACGAATATCACAACAGCTCGGCGCGAACCCTGCTGGCGCCCGCGCTACAGGCGCCGGCACCAAAATATCCTGAATCACCAAATTCGCTGGAAACTTGTTCCCAGGGGTAGTCTGATCTACTGGACACGAATATCGCATTCGCTTGGCCCGAAACGTCCTGGCGTTCGCGCTGCAGGCTCAAATTACCCCAAGTCACCGGCGCCTTTCGTAGCCTGAAACTTCCTGGCGGGCGCCAGGAAGTTTCAGGCTACGAATGTGATATTCGTATTCAGGAGATCAGAATACCCTAAGAGACAACATTTGAGCCGAATCTGTCCACGGAGAAAAAAGTTGGAGAAAAACCGGCTTGGATGGTTGGGGCAGTAAAGGGTAAATAGTGCCAACGACTTTTATTTTCAGGTGAACGCGTTGGCTTGTGCTCAGGATGACTGCCAACTGTTTGCGGCCACGAAATCCATGGTCTACTGCTACGACATCCACAATGGCCAAATCGTCGATGTGCTCGATTGTCAGCTTCCTTACGCCGTTTTCAACATTAAGGTCAGTCTCACTTCACTGCGTTGCTCCACAGTTATTCGCAATGTATGAAGGCCATACTTCTGCCTAGTTGCAATGAACCCTTTTGATTTGATAAACAGGATGTTTACTCCAGATTTCCTCCGACAATTTCTTCCTATTCTCCGGTTGTGGTCCACGGGTGGACGTGTGGCATATTCAGAAGCGTGTTCACGATGCCCCAGACGCTTCTGGACACATGGGATTTGTGACGGCGATCGCATTGAGTGGTGACGATAAGGTTTGTCTGTTTCATCTCCCACGCAGCTGCCTTGGGATATCATAGTCATGCAACTTACATATTACTTAAGATCGCAGCTTGTGGTACTTACGATGGCGTTGTGGCCGTATGGGACCTCGACATTTGCCAGTGCTTGTCGACGGTAGGTTTCCAAAATACCTGTGCATATCAGGGAATGCACTACATTTTATATCTGCTCGTGGTCTCATGTCCCCGTCGTGATTGCTTTTGTTCAGGTCCCACAGAGTAAAGGGATCCCCGTGTCATGTCTGGCGTTCTCCTTCAACCAGACCTTTCTGCTCAGTGGCAACGCAATCGGCAGCATCAGTGTGTTCGACTGTTCCACAGGCACTTTACATCGCACTTTCAGTGTACGTCAGCTCTAGTCCTCTTTCTAGTAGTCCTTTTTCTGGACGCGAGCCATACTGGTTGCTATAGTAAAACGGTCCTTTTTCCAATAGTCCGTTTTCTGGACGCGAGTACTGGTTGCTATAGTAAAACGCTGTGGCTGGCACAAAATATTGAGTAGTATTACAGCTATGAACTTAAGGGGTCTATGAGCTGCAGTTGGTACCATTCACCTGTGTTTTCATAGTGATAATCTCAAATGGGCAGTCCCCCCGCTCTCCCATCCCCTGTCAGATCTAATAAAGAGTAGTTCAAAAGTGGGAAAGTGAAGTGGGAGCCCGTTATATACGAACCAGCCGGCTCGCCGGCTGACGCCAGCGTGCCTCCTTCTGTGATATGGCCCGGCTTCGCCGGGCGGGCGCGGCTCCGCCGTGCGTACCTCCTTTTACATGTTTGGATACTCAACAATTATCCGGCTTTCCTTCACCTGTGCACATTGTCAAGACTCCTCGACCAGTAACATCATATCTGCTACGTTTATCACTATCACCATCTATGAAATGGTGGTAAGCAGTGTTGATCAAGTGCCCAGATTTCATTTCATTTCATTTATTACATGCTCTCTAGGAACATGTTAAATTAAGCATAGAACATAAACCACATGACGAATCAAATAGTCGGACAAAACTACCGAAAACGAGTAAAAATAAGAAAGTGCTATGCCATCGAAAGAAAGCAAAGGAAGGCATTGCAAAACGGACAAAACGTCAGTGAGCTAAAAATGGAACAGGGAAAGTACAAGGGAGCAGTCAAAAGCGGTTGGAGGAGAGAGCGAAAAATAACTAGCTGCGCTTTTTGAGATGACCCGAGATTTCTTGTTTGAAGCTGGAGAGTTTTAAAGGAAAACGAATATTCTTGCTGAGCTTGAGGTATTCTGAACCAGCTCGTTGAGTGAAGAAGTGGCTACGGAGCGAAGAACTTGCCTTTCTGAGGCGAATCTTACTAAGCTGACCTCTAGTAGATGAAACAGAAAAAAAGCTTGTCCGCTGCGAACTGCATTGGCCCCTGTACGATTTTAAAAACTGTGAATAAATCGTTCCTTACTCTTCGTTTTGAGAGGGAATCCAGGTTGAGCATTTTATTACGTATGATGCCTCGAGGAATACTATTATAGGTGTATCCTAACGCCCTTATGAAACTTTTCTGAAACTGTTTTGCACACGTTCGATCACCTGAATAATTCTTTTCTTGTGAGGGGAGAAAATGCATGTTCCATATTCAATAACTGTTCTGACATACATTTTATAAGTCCTGATCAAAATAAACGGATCTTGTAGTAACTGCCTTTAGTAGGACAAAAACCTTTGTTCGGACTTTGGCGGCGATTTCAAGGCAGTGGTAGTCGAAACTGGAGAGTACTATTAACGGTGAAGCCGAGGTCCCTAGTCTCCGAAACTTCCTCAATAGGAGATCGCAAAATAGAGTAATTGTTCTTAGGATTATTCTTGCCCAGATACATTGCCTTGGTCTTCTCGAGACAGATGGGAAGACTCCTGCTGACAGACCATGCATGAACAAGATCCACTGCGTTTTGAATAGCAGAGGAATCATCGGAAGACTTGATTTCCCTATAGATCTTGATATCATCGGCGAACATCTGACAGGTATCTCCCCGACTATGAACCAGAAAGGGTAAATCAAATGTGTAAATGTTGAAAAGAAGAGGGAACAACACCCCACCTTGTGGAACCCCGCTAGCCACGCATCTGACCGTGGAAAAACAGTCATTAATTCGAACTTGAAATGTGCGAGAGGCTAGAAAAGCTTCAACCCACCGAACGATAGTGCTGTGGATGCCCACACATTCTAATCTGCGCACCATCTTACTATGCGAAACTCTGTCAAAAGCCTTTGAAAAGTCGAAATAGACAACAGACTACACAAGACTTATCATCGAGAGCTCGCTCCAGTCATCCAATGATATAAGCATTTGAGACACAGTAGACCCACTCTTTCTGAAGCAATGTTGAGACTCTGATAGGACGTGGTTTGCATCAAGATGTTTAACAATCGCATCCTTAATTATCTTCTCGAATAATCTACTAAATATACAAGTTATGCTTATTGCTCTGTAATTCTCAGGTCTATTATAGGGAGGCTTTTCGGGAAGCGGAGTGACATAAGAGTGCTTCCACCTTAAAGGAACCTCAGCATAAAACAAACTCCTATTAAACAAAATTTCTAGGGGAGCGCAGATGTATGGAGCCACAGTCTTTATGAACATGAAAGGGACATGATCCGGTGTGTAAGAGAAACTGGAAGGCCATTCGAGAAGGTAACTAGAAATGTCCTGGCGCTTGAATAACACCGACTCATTCATACAAAGGACAAAAACGAGGATCACATGTGTTTGAACAGGGAGCTTCATCAAAAACATAAACTTTTTGGAACTCATTAGCCAAAGCTTCTGCTTTATCTTGTCACTAACAGCTAGGGAACCGTCAACCCCGACGAGTGTAGAAACCCAATTTTTGCAATGAATTTTAGCTCTGATGTCCTTAAAGACACATAGTACGCTCACACACATTGAGGGTGTAGGAGACTATCAGCCCCTCAGCTGTCGATGTGTTCGTGGTCCCCCCGCCCAAACATGCCCAGGAATGGAGATACAGGACGGTGAAACACGCTAATTCTTCCATGCTCCGCCTTACACCTTTTTGCGGCGCAGATTCCCGTCCTTCATAATATCCGTTGCAAGCGCGGTGTCGCGTGCGGCTTCTTGGCACTTTGTCCTTTAATTGCGCTTTCAAATACAAGTAAAACGCAAATCCCTGCTGCGGATAACATTGGAGGTGCTACAAAATAAGAACAGAAGATGATGACGAGGGTCAGAACTTAAAAGCAACTGTGCCACTTCTGCAACATCCCTGCCGCGTATTTCCAAAACATGAAAATAAAACGGCATACTCGTTAGTTTGATACAAGCAAAACGCAATTTCCTGATGCGAATAAAAGTTTAGGTGTTGCTCATACTTCAAAATCCATGTACAAGGAGATGAAGATGACACAGGCTAGAAATGAAGCACAACGATGTAAATGTAAATAAAACAAAAATGAAAAAATCAAGGGAAGGCGAATTAGTTGAGATCGTCTGTAAATTTCTACGATCCGGCGCGAATCCGGCGCCAAAGCCATAGAAATAATTCGAGCAAACGACTCATGTTTTCTGGGAATGCGCGGCCTCTGATGGATTCTGCGGATGCAGCCGAGTTGCTCTTGAGTTCTGGCCCTTGTCATCATCTTCTGTTCTTATTTTGTAGCACCTCCAATGTTATCCGCATCAGGAAATTGCGTTTTACTCGTATTTGAGAGCGCAATTAAAGGACTTGGCAAAGTGCCAAGGAGCCGCACGCGACACGCGCGCTTGCAACGGATGTTATGAACGACGGGAATCTGCGCCGCAAAAAGGTGTAAGGCGGAGCAATGGAGGAACTAGCGTGTTTCATCGGCCCTGTATCTCCATTCCTGCGGCATGTTTGGCGCGGGGACCACGACACACGACAGCTGGGGCTGATAGTCTCATACACCCTCAATGTGTTTGAACGTACCATGTGTCCTTATAGGAGGGGCCTTGTTATGCGATTCGATGTTTTTTTTTCTCAACAGAACAGTTGTAGAACGCTTTTGTCAAATTTCAAGAGAAAAAGCCGATAAGATTCCCAATCATGTAAATCATTAGAAATCACAGCTTTCTTATAGGCCGAAGTTTTTTGGATAAAAAGTGTGTACGAGTGAGGAGGCAAGTTCTTCAAAGAAGCCGAAATTCTTTTCAGAAGACAAATGTGCGTATATCAGTGCCCAAGGGCAAATAAGAAGTTCATACATCTCATTTGTATCCCTACAGCCGTAGAACGACCCTATTCAGTCAACGTTTTGAAAGAAATGAGAACACTTCTGAGTAGTTACACTTCCTAAAATCTCTTTTAAGCACAAATTTTTGGTCCATGTGTGAAAGTTTAAGCTGAAAGGTAATTGTTTCATGATCGCTGCTACCTAGGGAGCCCCAACATTCAAATTCGTGGACACATCTGTTATTACAAAGAACCAGGTCAATGGGAGAAAAGCCGGTTAGTTGAGCATTAAACATACGAAAGCTCGTAGGCGCGACGAAGCCAAGCAAAATCCGGCAAAGCCTGGCCATATCAGAAGAAAGGTGCCGGCGTCAGCCAGCGAACCGACTGGAATCAAATGTACCTGTACGACAAGTGTTTAAAGAGCGTGACGCCTATTGCTTGTAAAGCATGTGAAAATAGGTATCTCGTGCTAGAGGACGCGCTCCACCCATTGGTGGCTCAACACACCACAGACATACCCAATCCTTGCTATATGTTTCTCTTTTAAACAGTGTTTCCTGATCACCAAGTTCATTATCCGAACCACGGAATTTTGCAGCAAGCACCACCCATCTCGAAAGCAGTCTGCCCATTTTTAGGATGCCTCCCCCATTTTGTCCGCTAACGCCTTGTGGACCTCAACCCACTTGTACCGGTGCCTATGGTGCTCTGCAACTAATTCCTGCAGCTCCGCACACTATGGGCGCGTAAATCTCGCTTCTGTGGAGGAGCTCTTGCACATCTTTACTCGCTTTTTGCCGCTGTCTGGACATTGTTCTGGAACCGTTCCACAAATTTTTAGGCTCGAAACCGCGAACCTCGCCGCGCGCTCCGCCTACAACGGATGTGTTCCGCATCGGCGATCTTTTCTGACCACTATCACTTTTAAGCGGTGCCTGGAGTGGAAACCGTTTACAGGGTCTTTTACTGTCTCCGCTCACATCGGGGCAGGTCCACAGGGTTCAGCAGGTTCATCCACACCATGTGTCCCACGTTTCTCAACCGGCGACCGTTTGCTGACGTTGATCTACTTTTTCCTTTCTCTTGAGTGCTCTGGGACCATTTTACAAACCTTTTTGTCTGGCCCTGCCCACTTCGGAGCACTCTCCGCCTACGACGTGGGCTCCACAGTCCTCAACGCGACCCTTTGCTGAGCTTAATCCACTTTCTTCCGGTCTTCGGAGTGCTCTAGAACCATTTTACAGAATTTTTTGGCGGGCTCCGCCCGCCCCGGGGCAGGCTCCGCCTACAACGATTGTGCCCCACATTCCTCACCGTCGACCTTTGCTGACCTCAATCCACTTTTTCCGGTCTTCGGAATGCTCTGGAACCGTTTTACAGAATTTTTTGTCAGGGTCGGCCCGCCCCGGGGCAGGCTCCGCCCACAACGTGTGGGGCCTACAATCCTCACCGGCGACCCTTTGCTGACCTTAATCTACTTTTTTCCGGTTTCTAGTCATATGTAGTGGGTGATAAGATGAAAATAGTCATTTCAGCTGCACTCTTCAGAGATCGTTTCCATCTGTCCGTTGGAGAACTATCGGGTGTTCAGTTGCGATAAAGAAGGAAAGCTTTGTCAGTGGGAGATTTTCGGGGATGAGGAAAGCATGGTAACACCTTTTCATTCACTATTTTGCGTAATATTTACGGTTACGGATTTGCACGAACACATGAATGCTGCGTGCATTGCATTGCCTACGATGCACACTTTGCAGAGTGATTTGACCATGCATAATCACATGCAGAATGCTTCTCTAACATGTCTTTTGCTCGTTACTCAACCAAATTACATTTTTATGAGTTGCCCTCACCAGGTCGACTATGCCTTGGTGCCATTTTGGCGCTGAAGTCAAAAATGGATAGAGCAGTAGATCCCACGAATAGACTTTGGGCTGAAGAAGCGAAATTTCGAGCTACTAATATCCAAAGGAAAAAAGGCTCTCGGTTCGTGTCACAGTGCATGGTCAGCAATACACGCATTCATACAGGCAAAACAGTAGCTGCGCAGCATTCACTGTGTTGAGCACTGTTGAGGAAGTGTTTTTACACTATGAGATCCATTTCTGACTGACACACACTTTACACGATGCTATATTCAAGGTGATGATGACTCAAGGGGTAGCGCCGCCCATTTTCGCACCACCCAACGGCAAACTGGTAGTGGCTCATTGTCCGAAAAACTCAAAAGAGTAAGAAACTTTCTTTCCAGAACTAGTTTTGTCCAAAGTACTAAAGACCACGGAGGGAATATGGATTTACCAATTACAGAATGAAAGTGTGGACAGTCGGAGAGGAAGGGCCAGTGCTGAAGAACAAGCTGTCGCACAACGAGGAGATCACCTGCTTCGCCGCGATAGCGCAAGGAACGCTCGTCGCCACGGGTTCGTTTCCACGCTCGGTTCTTCTTCAATCCCATGGCATAGTTTGAGCACAGTTACGTTGGCCACATTTCTGAACACACACCGTCTCCAACCCTTTTCAGGCTCGAGCGATCAGTCATGCAAACTATGGCAAATTGACTCCGGTTACCTCACACAGGTGATTTTTCCGGGATAATTAAACTTGAATACTGCCTCTCCATTACCAGTTTGAGGTACTTGTTGGTCACGAAGGACGGGTGACATGTGTGGCGCTGGCGGACGACGAACGCCTCGTCATTTCTGGCGCTGAGGATAAAAAAGTATGTTTCCGTGCAACTTCTTCCGAGGAAATAGAATGCGACAAAACCACATCTTGTCCTTTCAGGTCATTGTGTGGAATGTCAGCACTGGTGACATATCACATTCCCTCATCTGCACAGCACCGCTGACTGCCGTCTCGCTCTCATCAGACGGTTGCGTAGCCTTCTCCGGTAGGACTAAGACCTCCTTGGAAGATCTTCCGTGGTGTTACCCTAGCAGAATTTTTTCAATTTGAATTTTCAGCAAGTGAAGATGGATGGTTAGAGAGTTGGTCGACGGAAAAGGGGAACTTATTGTCGTCTTTCAATGCTCATCGGCCTATTCGACACGTCCTCAACTCCCTTGACGCAAACAGGTTGGTTATCACCCAAAAAGTACTCATCACATTAGTGATTGAAAAAAGGAGACAAGTACTGTATACTTTCAACCCGTACTACCCGAGAGTTGAATGAAGAATTTGCTCACTTTTCACTTTGGCCCAGCAGTAACGGCTTTTTCGAAATTGCACGTGAGCAGGGGGGGGGGGGTGAGTGTAGGGAAACGATTACACAACTACCATCCAGTTGAATTCCGAATCAAAACGAGATGGCTATTTTCCGACTGACTTCAGATGTTATTGCAGTGACAATGATGAACTTCAATCCAAAGTGCTGATAGCAACCTTCTTCCTCTCGATAATCACAAGTTTGCAGATTACTTGTACAGCTCTCTTCATGTGCCCAACTTCCGATTCTGTGCCTTCATAACTCCCCGGCTAGCTCACACCCGCAAACGCAGCGCAGACGCAGCGCACGATCGCACTCAGTTACGAGTTTAGGAAATGAAAATGCAGGTAAACACGGAAATTATTCTATGAAAGAGCTTGACTCTCTCCCATTGCAGGCCAAAACGTTGAAACAAAGGCTCGAGAGATAAGCAACCCCTCGTTGCAAGTTGGTAATGGCCATCCAACTCCGCCACGAAGCGCTCAACACCGACCGACGTTCGACAAATTGGACCGCGATCATAGCCGAACATCAATTATTGAGAAAGTAAACCCCTCTTTCCAACTTCTAACTACTTGACAAAATCTAACATGGATCTTATTTGAAGGATCGATCAACGACGCTGACAGCTGCCGCTCCTGTCGCTCAAAAATCCCATTTGTGTAGCGTGCTCTGACCTACTGTTGAAGTGCTGATTTAGTATATAATGACATAGTAATAATAAAGTGTTATATTAACAGAATCAAATCGTAGTATAGAAGCAATCTGTGAGCAAAAGAGTACAGTCCCAAGAAATGGAAACTCGCGGACATTTGTTATTTGTACCGACTCCAGACCTCAGAATTCCTACTGCTTTTTTCTGCGATGCTTAACTGGTGCATTACAAATATCAAAACCGTTAAAGTGCGAAGGCGCTATTTGGCACTTTGTCTAGCTGAGCTTAGAAGGATCAGCGCTTCCGTCCTCAGCCTTACCGTTAACAGATTATTAGGGAGAGAAAGGTCTGGTCTGGAATGGTAAGAAGAATGGCGGATGGGTTGGGAATGGGAGTCGTGTTTTGCAAAAAATTGTCGCAATGGGAGGATGTGCCCTGTCAGAGAGGCCGTGGTATTGTCGTGTTACACAAGGAAACCACGTGCCGTGGCCGTGTCATCCCCTCCAACCCTGAAAGACATCGATATTACCGCGCCTACTCCAAGGGAATGAACTGCTTGCCGTGTCATCACTTCCACCCTTGAAAGACGTCAATATGCCGTGTTCACTCCGAGAGCTCGGAGGGAGTGCCGTGATCGCTCCAGTTACGACCACGGTCAAGCGTATGTCGCGAGACCCGCTTTGTTCAGGTCGTAAATTCCCGCTTGGACGGGGTAGGAGGGGGAGGGTAGTTTGTGCAGATGTTGGTAATGAACAAATTGGAGGCAACATTTGTGAGAATGGAAGGAGCGGTCATCGCTCGTGAGCTGGACTCTGAAGTGCACTCCCTTCACTAAGTTGGTTACAATGGAACACATTGGAAATTAATACCGCGCAAATGAAAGTACACCATAGCTGTACACTGCAGATCTATCTAAACGGAGCATCAAGCTCATCAGGCTCATGGTCAAAGAAATATTTCGTGAACCTGTCGGATCGTCCGGCTAGCCGTGCTCTCCTCCTTCCCTCTAGCCCGGCTTGGTCGGACCGGCCTAGCTCCGCCAGGCGCGCTCCATAATGGAAACGGAACTGGTTCTTTCACTGAGCTGCTCATATTACGCTGTTATGATCAAATGGTAACTAGAGTAATCCTTCGAATCCTGCACTACTGAGCACACGCTTCTATTTGCAGAACGGGTGGTGGTTTGCCTCAGAACGCCCGTATTATACCGAAGATAGATCTGTAGATATAGATAGAAAGTACAGTGGGCCAATACAGCGCAATATAAATCTCGGTAGATGTAAAATCCGGTTCGCATTACCTGCATCAAAATGCCTATCAACGAGAGCTCACCTTTTCAAATATTATGCAAGTCACTCGCTGAGGTAGTAGGAATGATTACAGATGCTCATATACAGGGTTTTGTATGTTGTTAGTTGCCAATTATTTATACTCCCTTATCAGTCGTTCTTGTCAGTAATTGAAAGTTTGAAAATAAAAAAGCTATTGAATTCATAAAGTGTTTTGAATTATTAAGGTTTTCGAATCTTCTCAATTTTCCGTGAGTTTCCTGTTTCAGGCTAACTATGTACATACTGCCCGCTCAACATCCACATCATACATATAGCAGGGTAAAGAGATGGGTTCATTTTCTTTTGTTATTGGAAAAGTGATGGCTAAAGAAAAGTTCGCACACTGAGCCTCAATACTTACTATAGTCAGCAGTATAGTGGTAGGAGATGCAGTAAGATAGGCCCACTATCCTTTCTAATCAGCTTATAAGATTATCTGTCAGCCTGCTCACCAGTATCCCTATCAGTAAAACTCTGAATTGATAGAGTAAAGGCTCTAGCTTTTTGACTGAACAACAACGGCAACGTTCCTTATCAGCCCCTATTGGCTATTATCACTTCCTACCGCCCGCCGTCACCGTCCCCACCTCTCCCTCTTTATCATTCGCTGGAACCAACGCCTAGGTGGTGATGCACTTCTGCGTTAAGGGCATGGTGACTTTCCGTTTCTGACTTCCCTTATCAAATTTTATCAGCTGCTAGCAGTTTTTGTCACCCACCAATAATATTCCTGTGTCGGCACTATTGAAGTATTCCTACCCCAAAAACTGAAAAAACTTCTTTTCGCGAAACTTTGCCTATAGATGTAATTCGATGCCCTGATCACGAATATCACATTCGTTTCATGCGCTGGAGACATTTGGCGCCATTATGCACCGATCTGGCGCCCGCCACTTTTTTCACCAAAAAAATTGTTTATGGGAGTTACTCGAGGTTCTGATTACGAATCCAACATTTATTTTTGGCGTCGGCGCCATTATGCGCCAATTTGGTGCCATATCAGCGCGTAATAAGGCCAAATGGCGCCGGAGCTTGGGGAAAAATTGTGATATTCGTGATAAGGATGTCGATTAACCCCCATATCCAAGTTTTCATCGACTTTGGTGAAAAAAGTGGTGGGCGCCAAATTGGCGCATAATGGTGCCAAATGACTCCAGCGCTCAAAACGAATGTGATATTCGTAATCAGAGCATCGAATTACATCTATAGGCAACGTTTCAGCGAAAAGGAGTTTTTTTGAGTTTTTGGGCTAGGAGTAGTTCAGTAGTGCCCCATAATCCTTCTAAGACCCCTTATCAAATGTTATCAGCTACTGAAAGTTCCAGTCACCCACAAATAATGTTCCTGTCTCATACCCTATATCATATCATGGAACTACGTCCCACTGTTGCTGTTATCCGCACTATGGATTAAGTGACCATCCCCTTCAGACGACCATTATCAGATCTTATTAGCTGATAACACTTCCTACCACCACCAAAGGTATTCCCGATATTCCGGTCACACCCCCTCCATCACATCAAATTTTCACTGACGCTATGGGACGGGCGTTATCACACACATAGACACACTTAGCGGATTATATAGGTTGGAAGGAAAGACTTGTCGACTTTTTTCGTTTCTATTTTCTAACTCAATATACAGTGGGAATTAGTCAACAGTATACTCGTCATAGTTAGACACTACAGCGCTCCACCCAATGAACAGATGAGCATTCCCCTCCTCCCAGAATTGAGAGGGCAGCGAGTAGAGCGAGTAGAGTAAGTCAGCGCCTTCTCAACTGATGTCATTAAAGTTGCTGAAAGTTTTCTTAGCTAAGAAAGCCTTAAGGAGGTGGAGCAGGTAGCAGTCGTAGGGGACTACGTCAGGAGAATGTTATGAGCGGGGACTGGCCTTCCAGCCTTGCTCCTCAATTATTTGGTAGGTCTTCATAGCAGGTATGGGGCCTCGTGTACTACGAACGAGGCGACCCGAAGCTAGTCTCGGTCATTTTTTACCAACAGTTTCCACCGGTTTCACGAGCTGAGCGACACAAATGGTGGCGGTGATCGTCTCTTCTCACAGGGCAGCTCGTTCTGCAGTATCCCCCTCGCATCCCAGGAGCAGCACAGGACAACCTTCTCGGAATACATGCCCGGTTTGGACTGTTAGAATGGATCTTCTCCTTGAGAGAGACAAACGTTACTGTGTGGGTTGAAATCATAGAGAACCCATCTCTCATCCCCACTAAACAGTCTTTTGGAAACTCCTCCTAACGGAGGGGAGGAGACTGACCAAGGGGTACCCGGGCGCACAGCGTGCCATAGGTTAAGGCATGAGAAGGTATGAGTGATCCATCGAGCCAGTACTTCTTGGCAGTCAAAGGCTTACAGGCGGTGGACGACGTCAGTTAGGTACATCCGAGTCTTGTCGCAAGACTGGGAGTGGTATCTTCTGGATCCCCTTGTCTGCTTCGAGAATGGTGGAGTGTTCCACTTCTTAAGGCCGTCCCAACCAAGGTTTGTCTTCGAAGATGTCTCTTTTCGCGAAGCGACTGAACTAAAAGTGAACGGTCCTGACGGTAGTGATGTACTGTTGATGTTATGGACAACTGTCGTGGCTCCAGTGCCGCGGGACCCCTGATAGACCATGATGACCCGAAGATGCTCCTGTGAAACTGTCATCGTAATTAAACCCAAGGAAGAGCAGGACCCTCACCCCCCTCCTGCAGGAAAGTTTCCAGAGTGTCCTACAAGCCTAGCATGTTACGTCATGTACGAGCATCGACAATCAAAAACAGTAAGCTTTTCAAAAAACACTGACAGAACTTTCCTTCCAACCTATACATAGTAGGATGCTTTGCCTTCCAATGCCCCTACAATTATGAATGGAAATCGAAGTCGCATGCCGTAGCAGAAAATCCGGGCGAGCGCCTCAGTTTCCGCTAAACCCAAGTGGGAGATTGCTTCTGAGAGCTTTGGAAAGCACTGTTATCAGGTGTGGGCACAAGCGAGAAGGGAGACACATTGTGCAGTCAAAGTTTCCCTTCCGAGTTTTCGAAATAATGTACTTACTGCGGAGCTGTTAGGCTGCGTTTATACTTTGCGGCAGCGTAGCGTAGCGCTTCCAGCGTACGCCAGCGGCAGTGCGTGGGGAGAGGATTGGCATATCGATCTAGCGTTCCAGCGTCACCAGCGTCACGCTAGCGTACGCTAGCGTTTCTGAACAGGGGGGGGGGGGGGGGGGGGGGGGGGGGGCGGGGGGGGGGGTGGGGGGGGGGGGGGGGGGGGGGGGGGGGCGGGGGGTGGGGGGGGGGGGGGGGGGGGGGGGGGGGCGGGGGGGGTGGGGAGGGGCGGGGGGGGGGGCGGGGGGGGGGGGGGGGGGGGGGGGGGAGGTGGGGGGGTTTTCAAGCCAACGTTTTGGCTAGGCGTTTGCAGCGGCAGGGGAGTAGAGACTATGGGAGAGCTGGAGGGTACAAAACACACGTCTGCGCGTCTCTCACTCGCCCTCAGTCTCTACAATACACGTCGATTCCGCGTCTCTGACGGCCACATAGTTTCTACAATACACATCGATTCTGCGTCTCTGACGGCCACACAGTCTCTACAGTACACGTCGATTCCGCCTCTCTGATGGCCACATAGTCTCTACAATACACGTCGATTCCGCGTCTCCTACGGCCACATAGTCTCTACTCCCCTTCCGTGCAAA